CGGGCAGAGGGGTAGGGTGCTGCCCCGGGACCGAGGGGGTTGTCCCGCACCCCGCCCTGGCCCCAGGCAGGCTGTCCCGCACCCGAAATCTGGCTGATCACCTTGTGCCGGGTGCTTGCTTTCGCACCCGAGCCAGAGCGCTGGGAGCGTTGCAGTGGCGGCGATCCTTGCAAAAAGGGGTGCCTGGGTTCTGCTGAGCCTCACGGTACCTCCGAGCAGCGCCTGAGGGGATGGGGAGCCTTTTGGCCAGCCAGTCACTGAGGACTGCACTTAGACCTGTGGGCATTTACCTGCCAGGCGCCTCACAGGGGTACCGCTGGCAGCATCGCACACAAGTGTTTCCAAAGAGATGTACACCATAGCCAGAGTTAGCACACATGTGCATAAACAAGCCTGCACACTCATGTAGGCAGCGTGTTTGTGTAGATCTGATGGGTTCCCATGCCCCAGCATGGGATGGGGATTGCAACTCCAGTGGCATGTGGAGCAAACACACATGAAGGAAGGCACACTGAAGCACAGAGAGCCACCTACAAAAGCAGATTCTCTCACACGCATACAACAGGGCAAACAACATCACACATGTCCGTATGTGGGATCTGGGCTGTGACTTAGAGGCAGTTGGATTAGTTGATGCCCCAGAAGGCAGATGTGCACAAGGGAGGCACGTTTAGACAGGGCACACGTGAAGATGTGCAGAGCCATGTTGTTGCATATGATAAGTTAGGGAAGTAATGGAGACATGGTCCCATACCATACAAAACTGTGCAAGCAGGGAGCCTTCACATGTATCATTGGACAGGAATCCATGCTTGAGGCTTGATCTTTGTCGTAGGTGACAAACCGGAAGGTGGCAAATTTGAGCTGTTTAGAGTTTTTCCCCTTCCTTCAGAAAATGTCAGCTTTTGGGGCCAAAATTTGAAAGCTGCCAACTTTCAGCTCACGCCAGTCGGCCATAACTCCCTAATTCTCTTGCAGGAATGGCTGCTGGCTGCGTGTCCTCTCAGACACCGCTGCTGCAGCTGCATCAACCAGCAACTCTGGAGAGGGGGCAGGGAAGGCAGGAAAGAGGGGAAACAGCCCAAAACCTGACTTCCCTTTGGCTCAGACCCTTCTGAAGACCAGGCTGGGCCGTGTCCCAAGGGGTGGCACACTAGGCATGCAAGCAGGTGTGTGCAGGGACTGGGAGGAGCACACAGGAAGGGAATAGTCCAGCCAGCTGTGTGCACAGCTGGAGGGTGATCTTAGGGGGGGCACAGAGCTACTCTCACCGCTTCTCTCTCTCTCTCCCTCCCGCCAGCTGTCCTGTTTTATGGAGCTGCGGGCTGGAGCCAGCCCAGCTCCTCT